ATAATAAATAATGTCATTGTAATTGTACTGCTGAGTTATTTTTTTTACCAGGTGATAGACTACTGCTCCGGTTTTCTCTATCACGGCGCAGTCTCCTTTCTCTGTCGCGGTCATTCCTTTCGCGATCATTTCTATCAAAATCTCTGTTTCTAGAGCTATCACGTTCACGATCCCTGCTACGTTCTCGGCGTCTTTCCATGTCCTTGATACCTTTATTGTCCCGATCCATGTTCTCCTTTTTGCCAACATCCCACTCGCGCACTGGCCGAGACCCCTATGACACAAACATAAGTATATCAAAAAAAAAAAAAAATGGATCGTGTTGAACTCACCCTTTTCTCCTCTTCAATGCGATCTCTATTCCAGCCCGAACCAACTAATACATTGTCTTTGCTTGTTTCTTGGCCAAACTTGGGAGCCTCTTCTTTTGTGGATTCTATTACTTTAAGCATATCAGACTTATTTCCGAAATCGACATTTAAACATTTAGGATTTGAAGCAGGCCACCGCACACCATGTAATGCATGACGTGTCTCTATGGCTTCACTAAATGGAAACAAAAAGAAACAATAAATATTAAAAATGTTTTGCTAGAAATATAATTACAAAATTAAAATAACAAAAAAAGAAATACATATCAAAACATATTTTTATTAGTCCGAAATATTTTGGTGGAATTTGTGGTGGAAATCTTCAAATTGTGATAATATCGGTATATGGGAGATATGTCGCATGATTCGTCTCTCAGACCCTGGTTATCATTGTTGAAAAAATCGCTGCCAAGGTTATGGTTATAAGGTTAACCGGTAAGGCCGGCTGAAGTCTTCATTGACTGTCAAAATTTATCATTTGGAGAATAACAACGTTACCTAAATTCCAACGTAGCACACAAAAATATTCATGCTGGTCGCTTCCCGTACAGCAAGAATCACGTTCTTTTAATACGATAATAAAATTTCTTTGTGATATCGGGTAGAAAAAACTAAAAGCTTCTTGCAGTACGTGAATGGACCAAAATTTAAATCGATTGAAAACGAAAATTAATGTTGTTATCATGACTATGTACATATGTCATTTACTTACTCTTCAGTTTCATATTCGACGTAACATTTGGATTTAATGCGATCAATCCAAAAGCCATCTTCGACTATTTTTCCAGTTCTTGCTAGGAGTCCTTTTAATTGTAGTACGGTAAACGGGCGTACTAAATTTGTTATATATAAAACACAACTGGATTGATTTCGGGCCGGACTAGGTTGACGTTGTATGGGGTCCGGTACAGTTCCAACACCAGGAACCATTTGATCTTGACGATTATTCTCTTTAGGTTGTGGCCTCGGCTTCACTGTTATTTCAACTTTGTCTGTGGAAATACGGCGCCTTTCCGGTTCTGGTGAAGGTGACTGTTCGCCTTCCTCACGCTCGGAGGTCACATCCTCAATATCAGAAGAAGACTCTAATTGCACATCGCTCAACGGCACAGGGTGAACGTCGGCAATAAGAGTCTTCAACGAATCTGTGGAAATGGCCATAATAGGTTCTTTGCTTTCTGTGGTTTTCTTTGTTATCCAACGACGTTTGCGGGTAGTGGTATTGGTGGCGGAAACTGCTGTAGTATTCTTGTTGTTAGTGTGACCTGTATCAGCTGCTGCAGTAGTATTAGAGGTTTCATTAGTTTTACCATCTTGTTTATGGTTTACCTCCTCCAACTTAGGTTCATCCTTTTGGGGTGTGTCATCCGTCGTTGTGTGTTCTTCAATACATTTTTCTTCCTTTTCGATAACTTCTCCGTCTTCAGTCCCTTCGTCTTCCTTGGTGTCCTTCCTTACTGGGGATAGCTTTTGTGGGCTGCTATTACTACGTGATCTGGGGGAATTATCACGAGTGTGCAATTTTACCTCATCTTTATCATCTTGATCTTCTACCGGTGACACTATATCTTTGTCACTTCTAACCGACGAATGCGACTCTTCCTCGAACGTTCCAATTACTTTTTCATTCTTTGAGCTACATTCTTCAGCTTTCCCAGAAATTTCTTCTTCTTGATTATCGGGACTTTCGTCGTTCACTTTTTGGTTTTCTTCTTGCTTTTTGTCATCGCCCTCATTTGTGTCTACCTTCTCCTCCGAAGGTATTGAATTTTCTTGTTCCTCCTTTAAAACATCCAATTTACCTTGACTTGGTTCTTGTTCTTTCTTGTTTTTCTCAGATTCATCTTCGTCATTAGCAACATTTCCTTCTTCTTGAATAGATGCAATATTATTATCCAGTGGTGTTTGTTCTCTTCGATTGCGACGACGACGCACAGGGCTAGTTGTTTCTTGTTGTTCTTTGACCGGAGTTCTTGTACTGCGTGAACTTCGTCTACGCCTAATACCAACGCGCTCTTCGCTGGAATCCCTTTCTTTTTCACCGGCACTGTGCTCCCCAGTTTCTGATACCTGTTTTTCATTTGTATCATTACATTTTAATTCATTTTTGTCATCTTCAGATATGGATGGCGATTTTCTACGGCGGTTGGTACGACGCGACGCCGGAGCTGGTGAGGATACGTCAGTAGATTTTTTTCGTTCACTTCTTCTACGCATTTTTACACAAGACGAACCGTCTTTCACTACACTGCAAAATACTTCGATTTTTATATAAAATACTAACAATGCACAAAAGTTCTTTTATTTTTCACGCGTTTCAACTTAGTTGTATAAATTTAATGCTTTTTCAAGCGGTGTGGAGCCATCTTTTTTTTATCGAATACCAGTTACCCAATTACCAAAACAAGGTCAGGAGTCCCTACCTAAATTCGTGCGTGTGCGTAAGATTAGAATATATTTAATAAGGTAGATGCGTCAGTAATCTATTACAATCCGACATAATCAAACTAATTTGGTGTTTACAAACGATTTTTTGGGTAGACAATAGCAAATATATAGAGCAATACATAGCAATACATTTTCAATGGAGAACAATTCTTAAAAAAATTAATTGCCAAAGAAATTATGAATGTAATGAAATGTATAAACATGGTACAATTACACCTAATTCTGTTTTTACACGAATTTGAAATAACACGAGTAAATACGAAAAAATATTTCTATTTTTACACGACATAATTTGAAATATCACGAATACAAAAAAAAGCAAAATTACTTTTTTTACATGAACTATTTATTTATTGAAGAAAATTCTGGAATGCTTTTGCTCAAACATCCCTGCCTTAATTAGAGTAACAACCCTGCATGGCATGAATTTCTGATATGGCAACATTTTATATAATTCTGGTGTGTGTTCTGAGTTATGAGCATCTTACAGGGAAGTTTATAATGGGTTAACGCGAAATAAAACTCAATCTAAGATAACTGATTTCGTTCAAAAATCTACTGATGTCCCAATACAGTCGGCTAGAAATGATAATGATCCACAAAATCATTCCAGTAATGGCAGTAATATTGTAGTCTTTCGCAAACGTTTACGTTTATTATCAGACAGTGACAATAAATAAAATTGTTTAATGTTTAATTATAATTTATAATTGCATATCGTTTTGACACATTGAAATTTCCGTGTCTTTCACATGACGAGTTCGAGTTGCATATGTAAATAAACTGACAGCACATATGTAAAATACATATCGTGTAAAAACACCATTATGTGTGTCAAAATAAGTAGGGTACAAAAGACTTATAGTTTTTGCGTTCAAACCTGCATATGTATTTTTCATAATCCATAACCTATAAACAAAAAAACACCTTTATTTTTCATAAATCTACATAATTTTTTATTAAAAACGACATTTACATTAGAATTTTTTGCTTGGTTAACCTACTTTGTGAGGATTAATTTAACATAAATACAATGGAATTGACATTTGAAACCCACTGGGTTAACAAAATCCTGTACAATGTAAACGTACAAAATACTTATAAACGAAATAACAATTTATAATTTCAGCTTTTTCATCTTTTTCTTCGACTTGCAAAATGTTACAATTATAAAAGGTAATAGCAAAACCCAGCTGATTTGATTCCAACGTAATACTAATGTCAATATGTATAAAACAAAAAATGTTTAAAAAAAAAAATTATTTTGAACATTCGAAAATATTACTGGTATGTTCCTGTACTGCAAGAATCTACTATTTTTTACACTTTTTTCCTTTATGATATCGAAGAAAATAGTAAAATCGAGTAGATTCTTGCAGTACGGGAACAGACCATACATTTTCAAAATAAATATATGGTTTGTTCCCGTACTGCAAGAAACTACTAGATTTTACTATTTTCTTCGATATCATAAAGGAATTTTCGTTATCGTTGTAAAAAGTAGTAGATTCTTGCAGTACGGGAACAGACCAATAATTTGTTTGTTTACATTTTTCTGTCAAATGACGTTGACACTAGTATAAATTACAACAACAAATGTCCAACAATCTGCCAAATTTTTCCTTATAATATTTGAAATGGTTGGCAATATTGCACATCGAATGCAATAATAGAGACATCAGCTGCGCTATATGGACTACCTATTTATTGTGCCATGGCCGAGTCCATGATGCAATAATAAGGTGATTTATCAAAACGAAAACCTTTGTTTTTGTCTCGATCATCTGTCAAAATTTTCCATATAATATTTCACATGGTTGGCAACACTGCACATCGAATTAAAGTAGAAATTACCCACATTGACAGTTAATCGAGACATTAGCTGCGCTAAATGGACTACCTATTCATTGTGCAATGGTCGAGACATAAACAAAGTTTTTTGTTTTGATACATCACCTTATTATTGCATCATGGTTTTGAACGTTCGGTGTCACCATGTAAATGAAATATTAACATGTTTTTAATTCATTGCAACATTGATAACTTATCGTAAGTGCCGGGCATTGATTTTTTTTGCATTGTTCGTATGTTTGAATTGCAGGAGTTTTAAATGTTGAAATTCTTAACGTGTAATACGTTTCGAAACATATACCGTTGTTATTCAAAAGTAAAAACGGGTTCCTTGGAAATGAAATATCTAAACGTTGCGGAAAAAAATGATGCTGCTAAAACAATTGCAGGTCAATTGTCAAATGGAACAGCACGAAGAGTAAGAAGTGAACATCGTTTCGGTTTCATTTATGGAAATAATACTTGTTGCTTTCAGCGCGAAGGATATTCTGTCTACAACAAAATATATGATTTTGAGGCTATTGTCAAAGGAACGAAGTCTAAAATGGTAAATAATGCTTTCAATATAGTTTTTACAATAATTTGTATTAAAAACTAAGGCTGTACTTGAATTAATCTTAAGTTTATGGCTCTACCCGGATTGCAATTTATACCGTAGGTAATTCTCCTGGTGCTGATTGCAATAATATACATTTTGTATGGGGAATTCATACCTACCGGAATATAAAACTTGCTTAAGTTCGGCCCGGTCGACATGACGTGGGCATACAAAACACCCAGGCTGAATAAACTAAAAGGGCGCGTGATGGTTGAATAATATATCTGAAATCTACCAAATTTTTCGAGTTAGGGTTATACCAAACGTGGACCCATACTCATTTTTGCAATACCAAACATCCTCGAAGTACTGGCAATGTCGATGCCTCATAAATTAAATCTATCGCAAATGTTGCCGGACTACTTAGCATTCTAAACCATCAAGTGTATGGGTAAGTGCACCAATAGCCGGCACTTTAAGGATTTTCTCATTTAAAACGTTTCACCATTCCAAGTGCATTTTTCCCTATATATTGTATTTAGGTTCATCTGTTTCGAAATTTTGTTTACTCCCCGATGCAATCAAACATTGTGGGATTTGGGAATCCCGTTTTTATAATTTTATAGAAGTGTGTTAAGTTACGGAAATAAATAAATTGTCTAAACGAACAACCTAAAAAGTTTTTTACAAAATGGGAAATATGTTCACGTAACTTAATGTTATACACAAATCTGGCAATCATATTTAATTTTCTGTAATTTAATAAGGTTATAATCAGATGTGCCAGATACCACTTCCAAAGCATACAAAATGCTTGGCATTAGAAGTGCATGGGCCATTTTTATTTTAACCCATTTTGGTAAAAATATGCTCACGGAATGCAACTTCCGTAGAACATAGTAGACTTTAGATTGAACAACATCAATATGGGAGTCAAAACTTAACTTGTTATTTAATAATCCCAAACATTTATGTCTATCTACTATATCAACACCTGATTGACCTATTAAGATATTGATATTAGGCACTTGAGCAACAAAGATAATTGCCTTTGTCTTATTTGGGTTAATATAATGAATTATCCTGAGTCCATCTTAACGTCCGTTCCAAACATGCATTTATTCCATTCTCAAGGTCATACATGTTATATCGATCTGAATTAAACATAAGCAACACATCATCAGCAAATATGTGCAATGAACATGTATTGAGATCCAAGTATTCTAACAAATCGTTCATATACATTATAAAGAGTAATGGTCCCAATACCGATCCTTGCGGAACTCCAGAATCTAATGATATAATGGTAGATGATATCCCATTTAACTCAACAAACTGCTTTTGGTCATTTACATAAGACATTATAAGTTTACATGCAGAAAATGAGAAATTAAACTTATTTTTAAGCTTGAGAATCAGCATCTCATGATTGATCGAATTGAATGCTTTTGACAAATCAAGAGAAACTAATGCACTAACTCGATTGAAATTACTGTGACATCTGATAGTGTCAGTTAAGTGTAAAAGTAATGATGCTGTGCTATGGCCCGCATGAAAAGCATATTGCTCATCAATAAATTTGCTCCTTGTACTCAAGAGAATTTGATTTTTCATTATATGTTCGCAAACTTTGGAAATAACTGGAAGAATTGAGTTTGGCCGCAAATCATCAGCATCACGAACTGTGGAAACCTTAGGAATTGGTACAAGAGCGGCAAACTTCCACGAAGTGGGAAATACTGATTTAGTCAAATTTATATTAAACAAATCCAAAATCAGACCTGACACATGCGGAAATATAAATTTTAAAAATTCCCCAGATATTTTATAAACTCCCACCGACTTGGATTTGATTTTACCTAGGGCTATAGCAATGTCATCAGTAGTTATACATGAGAAGGAAAAAGAATGGTCTTGATCATTAAAGGATTACAAATTCAAATTACCATAGCTATATGATAACCCACTTGAGGCAAAACAATTGTTGACCGTTTCAACATCAAGTCCATTCAATACGTTTTCATCTCCAATGCAGCCATGATTTCGAAGAATTTTCCATAAACTTCTAGAGTCTACATTTTTAAAGGTTTTCATATAATAACTACGCCTCTTCTTTCGAATTACATTTTCACCTTATTTCTATATTTACAAAATATAGCCCAATTATACGGTGTTTGGTCTTCCAAATAAGCTCTATAAGATAAATCCCTTAAGTTTTTCGCTGCTAAAATGTTCCTCGAATTCATCCAATTATCGTGTTGTAACAAAATGCTCCTACGAACAACCGGAACATTTTTATATAGATTATCAATAAGCTCAGATAAAATTAAGCATTTCTCATCAACATCATAAGTTAAATTGAAGCTTGTATAGTTAAAATTGGACAGACATTGAAAAACGCCATCCCAATTTATATTCCATAAGTCATGAAACTCTACCACTTCTTCAAACGAATTGATTTCAAGATCAATACATGCCACAATTAATGAATGGTGCGATATACCAGGACATTGTGCTTGGCAAGAATGATTTACAATTGAGCTATCATTGAGCATGTAATCAATTAGTGAGGAACTCCAATGGGTCACATCAAAATGTGTGGGCTTAGAATTATGTAGGATACCTAAATTTACTCTTAGGCACCTCATTACTGAAGCACGTGAAATATTGAAAAGGTCGCAATTAATGTCTCCAACCACTATAATGTTGGTGTAAGTCAAAAATAAGTCGCTGTGCACATCTTCAAACACAGACACGTCACCCACAGGAGGTAAATTGGAGTAGTTCAAATTCAATTCAATTAAATTTTTTTAATGTACGTATGTATGTTAAATTTTTTTATATTTGTGATACAAATTATTTAGATAAAAACACAACTCATTTTTATATATAATAATTTTCCATTCCATTCCTACTGGAGTAGTCATAATCCAATTAATCAAATTTTTTAATTATAATCTATAATAATCAAAAACTTTTTTTTTGTAATTTAATCGGTATAATATTCTTTAGTAGTTCAATATCCCTCCCTTTTACATTTAAGCCGCTTAATACGATAAATTTTATATTTAATTGTGAAATGTAGCTTACAGCCTTAAGGTCGAAAGACTGGGCACTATGAAATATATAAATAAATAAAAATAAAATAAAAAATAAAAATAAATAAGCTACACCAAACAAAATTTTTGTAGCTCCGGAATAAAGTTCTATGAAAAGCGATTCACACTTCCCAGCAATTGAGGATTTAAATACTAATTTATGTCGAAGTTTTCTTGAAATATAAATCCCAACTCCCCCACCTCTGGAATATCTACGATCATTCCTATAAAATTTAATGCCCAGCATATTCGCCGCACAATTTGAAACATCGGATTTCAACCACGTTTCAGTCATTCTAATAACATCCAAAAGTGAACCACACAGGATTGACTTCAATTCATTAAACTTAACGGAGTAAGTTGAAGGTCTCATACTCTGGCATTTATGTGACCTATTTTAAATTTATTGTCCCAAGGCTCCAACATTGATTTTAAGGAAATGTTACTTCCAACTACAGATCCCATATTTAAGTCAAAATACATCAAATATAAGTAACATAAATAAAGTGGGGAACCAACGAACAATCAAAATATTACCATAATAATCCATTCATACTTAATTAACAACTAATCAAATTTAATTAAAAAACAGATGCTTATGTTTATTTTATATTAGATCATTTATCAAGATCGGTATTGAAAACATAATTTCAGTCGATGTCCCGACATAACATGCCCTACATCGCATTTTTTATTCATATTTCAATTCTTATTTTTAGAGATCATTTTAGAAATAGGAATAGTAAGGAGACAAACCAAAATGAATTTACAACATTATTTAATTTAAAACATTACGAAATTAATGTGTATGACTTGACAAATGTTGTAAATGACGGACAAAAAGTATACGGATGGACGGACTTACCGATGTAGGCCATATGTAATGTTCAATTTATCATAAAAAAGCTTATATAGGAAGATATATAACTTCATTACAACTAATGTTCGTCCAAGGTAGAACCGGCATTGATAAGAAGTATGTTACATTGTTCAAGGCTGCAAACATCATTACTTCCATCCGGGAAAAATAGTTTTGCTTTGAGGCTGTCAGAGTTGAATAATTTAAACTTGATAATACACCCCTTTCGAAGCAGTTTTCTACACGTTGAATTCAATCTTGCTGCAGCTGGTGAATAATGGTCGTTTAAATACACACGTTTATCAATATCACTGCCCTGACCGCTCACAAGATCACAAATTTTAAGATTACGTGTTGCAAAATATTCTTTCATAATATCATCACGCACTTGCACCGAATTGAATTTAATCAGGACCAGGCTACGATTGTGCATCAAACAAACATGATTTACTTCGTTACTGGACAATGATATCTTAAAAATTGCAGCCAACTTTATCGCAATATCAGCAAGGTCTGTGATATTTCCAGGTAAACCGCTGACTTATTTTCATCAAGTACTCGTTTAATGGAGGTTTGTTCCGATTGATTGTGTTTAAAAAAATCTTCAAATTTTTTGTTCAGTGATCGCAGATCTTCAGCAACACCATCCTGGCTATCACTGCCATTTAATCTAGTTTCGCATTCGACACACATAAACAAAGATTTTTTGGCCTTAAGCGCTAGAAATTCACTTTCAGAAAACTTTCCACACAACGCATGGAACCATTGGGAGCAGATTCTGCATGTCGGCATGTCATGTGTCAATAGTCGGCATGTCGCATTTTAGTTAATATTTAATAGATTTTTCTGCTATATGCAATAATGGCCTTCGGCCGTTGAGATACAAGGTAGATATATACCTTGGTCAGTTTGATATGTTGAAAAATGTAAACAAAAAGGAACATTTATTCTAATGGATGAAATTAAGAAGTCTGAGGGTATATTACCGTTTAGTATTTTTATTACTATTATAATGTTCAATATAATACGTCTACTTTGTAATGTAGGCAATC